AAAAAAAAAAAAAAAAAAAAAAAAAAAAAAAAAAAAAAACTCAAGGGATAGACATGGGCTTAATGGTCCAGTGGGTCCAAACCCTACAATTTAAAAATTATTATCCAATTGTATTAATAAAAAAGAAAAGCCTTTTTAAGATTCTCAGTATGTGTACCTAACTAAGGGTAAAGTAGGAAATGTAAAAAACGTTTTGGAAGACAAAAGGAGGAGACACGAGTATCATCTGCTCAAAATCCCCATCGCTTCCGACCATTAGTTTAAAGTCTTCTTCCTTCACCTACCATTCTCTCTCTCTCTCTCACTCTCCCTTTTTGTACCTCTTGACGAGAGAGTGAAATGACTTGGTCCGTCTTCAGATCCATAAACTCCCCAACTCTCGACCTCTCCGCCGCACTTCGCTCCACTCGCTCCTCCCCTTTGTTCGCCGCCGGTGCTGGCTGCGCAACCATCGCTGGTGTCTCTCTCTTCCGAATGTCTTCTTCGAGATCTCCTCCTTTCGCTTCTCTCAGTGTCTCAGCCTCTGCTTCTGGTAACAAAATATTTCATTCACTTATCTTGAAGTTTCCAGTTATTATTGGTGGAACTTGCTAAAAGTTTTGATTTTGATATCGGTTATGTTAACTTCATATGTTTATTAGTATTGGGTCTTGAGCTTTTCAGTGTTTTAGCTAAAAGTTTCATAAGACAATGTGTGGTGTTGTGTGTGGGTTTTAAGGAGGATAATGAGAGTTATTGACAGTATTTGAATCTTTTTTTTTAAAATGAAGGTAAGAAGGAAGTTGTGGCTACAGAGAAAGCACCAGCTGCTTTAGGACCATACTCTCAGGCCATTAAAGCCAACAATCTCGTTTTTGTTTCCGGTGTTCTTGGACTCATACCTGAGGTTTGTTACTCACTCGTCTTTTTTTTAGTTTATTTTTATTATATAACCTGCACAATTGAATATTCACCTGGTTTCTAAGATTCTGTTTTTGTTCTGTGTGTGTACTAGACTGGAAAGTTTGTCTCGGACGACGTTGAAGATCAGACTGAGCAGGTGAAGTAGCTTTTAAACTCTCACCACCATGGTCTCTATAAAAGATTGGTTTTTGTCTACACTATTTTTGAGCTTGGGTGATCTATCCAAAGTAAAGGAGATGTTGGGTTCTCTTTTTAGATGTTTGTTTGACAAAATTGAAGTGTGGAGTAGTGTGAGGATATAAATGAAAAAGTTAACTAGTGTGCCTAACTTAAACTGAGTTTAATCTACCTTCACCACACTAGAACTAAGCCTCTGAACCTTAATGAATTTTTTACTTATGAACTGTTTGATTTGGTATATTTTAGTCTTGAGACTAACTTCTAGTGTATACCTGTAGCGAGGTTTGAGTTGCTCTGTCCTCCTTTCCTGATACTGACTGATTCTTTCTATTGTTGTGTGTTTGGAATATCAAAAAGGTACTCAAGAACATGGGGGAGATATTGAAAGCTAGCGGTGTTGATTACTCCTCCGTGGTGAAGACAACCATCATGTACGTTTTGTTCAGCATAATCATCTATCCATATGAGTGTTGTTGAATCTTAAATAAAAACTGATCTCTTTGGTGTTGCTTCCACAGGCTTGCTGACTTAGGTGACTTCAAGAAAGTGAATGAGATTTACGCCAAATGTGAGTTCATTAATAAGATTCATTAGCGTTCTTAAAATGGCATTATAACTGGTTTCAAATTTTGAACCATTTTTAACTTTTGTTTTCTGGTGCAGACTTCCCAGCTCCTTCGCCAGCAAGGTCAACATATCAAGTCGCAGCTTTGCCACTAAACGCCAGGATCGAGATCGAATGTATTGCAGCACTCTAGAACTCCCATCAATATCTCCAGGAAGAGTTTTAGATTCGGAGAATGTCAGAACAAATAAGAGGAAACCATTAGGTTGGTTGCAAAACATAAATCCACTGCTACTTTAATTATGAATAAGTGATTTTTAAGTGTTTTATTTTAGGATCTTCGTGTGCTGTTGACTTAAATAATTATTGAGTACAAGATTTGTCAGTAATTGATTATCATTTGACTTTGGTTCCATCTTAAGTTGGAATTCGATGTCTTAGTTTCAACTTCTCGTAGTTTTTTTTATTTTCATTATATTTGAAAGTGTCCCATGATCAAAAAGCAAACAAGAAGAAAGAGATGAAACATGGAAACATTGTAAACTGTCGAGAAGCCTTTAAATAAAATTATTTGATTCTCCAATAAGAGAAATCATTCAGATTTTGTAGAATCAGATTCTAGTTGTTGTCGCCATTGTTTTGTTTACTTTCTAGCGTTCTTTGCTTGAACAAAAGTAACACTTAAAATACAGTATAAAGGTTTGACCAATAAAAATAAAATAATACTCTCTTTTATTATAAGTCTTTTATTATATTCGTCACTTGATTTTTTTACACAAATTAAAAAAATAATTAATTTTACATATTTTATATATTAAAACATAATTATCTATATACTTAATTATATTTCAATCAATAAAAAAATAAACTACATAATAAAATTAATAAATTTTGCATATTTCAAAGAGATTCCGATTTCTAAACAGAAAACATGCCTGGAAACACAACCTAGGAAAACATATTAAAATTACGTTTTTAAAAATCTCTTATTTTCTATATTTTCTAACCATCTTTGCTTGAACACAAGTAATATTTAAAGACAAAAATAGTACTTTTCAATTTTGTTACTATTTTTTTCTTCAGTCAAAAATAATGCAATGAGCATTTGAATTCCAATTTTCGGAGTTGAGGGTTTAAAGTCGTCCCCCTCATGCTTTGTATTTTCTTTTTTTATGCTTGAAGAAACAAAACACTTAATATGGCTATGAACATAACAAAGGAAACTAGAAGATTTGTAGTTGTGGACTTGCGGTAGAACTCATTGGTGCGTGAGAGTAGAGAGATGATGTTTTAATAGATGCATGAGATTTTGAGAATACAAACTCATATATTGAAACCCATACACGGACTTATTAACACAACTCACTTATTGAAACACAAACACGGACTTATTATTACTTAAGTGGTGGATAACAAAGCAAGCACATGTAGTGGCAGGTCCGTACGTACGTGGTTAGAGAAAACTCTAACTAGGAAAGTACTTGGTTGTAGAAACGGCTTGAATTTCGACTTGAACCGTCAACTTATCATCAACAAGGAACCCCTTTGATGAATCTTTGAGACTAGAGAGAGGGACAAATTCATTATAACCCCAACCATATGCACGTCCAGTTTCCCAACCACTGAACCAGTGATCAACTACCACCAAAAAATATATATCACATACAAACAATCATTAGTATCTCTATAGCGATGAATATGTTATACATATATTATCTGCTTACTTTGCCTTTCGACGATTCTGAATTTGAATTTGTTAAGAACTCGAAGCTTGGCTCGAACATATATTCTCTCATAGGGTCTGAGTTCCTCTTTCGGATTAACGATAAGAAACATGGACAAAGCTTTTCCCCTTCCCTTTTCACGGCCACTTGGATACACTTGTATGTTCCTGGATATTAAAAGATAATTTGTTAGTTGTTACCAACGTTCAAAAATAATTGTTACTATACCATTATACTTGGAAAGAGCTTTAATTTTGAAATAATGTCACGAGACTCACCAACTTCTTCCTCCGATGGAGAAAGTATCAGAGATGTAAGTATCTTTGACCAACGTAGAGAACTTCAGAAGTCTCCAGGTGAATGTCGGGCTTTCGAACTTACCAGAGACTGTGAAAAGTTCTGATGTTTGAAAGACAGAAGGTACAGTCACATCAACACCAAACTCACAGTGATCTCCATCGTAAAGGTATCCGTTATAAGTGTTTTTAAATGTATAACCAGGGAGAACCTTAGAGAATCCCCACATCGTTTTGAAGTTGTTAAATCTCCATACATCGGTATCTGCAGTATAACATAACATAATTTGAAAGATATTAATACACATAATACCATCTTTCTTGTTAAAATATCAATTTATAAAAAAATAAAAAGTTAGTGAAAAAACCTTGGATGGTAAAGTACTTCTTCTCTTTCTTGTTGAAGACGTAAAACCTGAGATCCACGTAAACCTCTTCATGTGGAGCGAGAGTGGAGTTGTCTATGGCTACGTACAGCGAAAGGTACCCTGAACCTTTGTCATTCTTGTTCCCGTTAGGGTACACAACTAGTGTCCTGTTTTTGAATTATTTTTTTTGAGATTGTTTTTATTTAATAAGTATATAGTATTTAACCAGAGTGAACAAAGATCATATTATTATCAGAAGTAAGTACCAGTTATAGCCAGCGGCTGAGAAAGGACGAGATATATATCTCTCTGAGTATTTTGAGTTAAGTAACGTTTTGAACGACTCCATCTTTAGAGAGTAAGAAGATGGTGGACGACTTCTGAGACCCTTCACTGTATTTGAAGCTGAGACTTTATAGTCACGTGATGAGATCTCTTGATCATGGTTATCTAAGTAATGTGCTCCTCCCTGGATTGGATCTGGTTCATCTCCATCTTGAACATGTTTACGCAAGTAATGAGCTTCTCCCTGGATTGGGTCTGGTCCATCTCCATCATCCTCTGTTTTGAGACAGAAAACATAGTATTTGATGTGTCAAAATGTTGGAAAAAAATACAGTCCAAAGACTCAAACACATACAAGCTATAAGGTATTAGATAGATATTCTTAAATATTTGATAAATCTAAGAGAAAAAGAGTTAGCGTACGTAGCAAGTTTGTGTTGAGGTCATCAGTGACTTGCTGTATGAAGGAAGTTGAAGAGGCAAACGTGATGAAGAGACAAAACAAGATAAATAGAGCAGAAACGGTCTTTGTGTAGTGACTAATCATCTTTTAATGTTGTATATGTGAATGAAGTGCAGAGAGCAGAGATTAGTGAGACTTATATAGATGAGAGGGAGATGCTAGGAAGACTCCAGATTATTATGAAGTTATTGCATGACACAGACTGTTGATTCTTTATTCTTAATACCTAACTGTTGTGTTTGTTGCCTCGTGTTTGTAATGTAAAATCAAAAGTTGAAGCATCAAAAAAAAAGAAAAAAAAAAGGTTGAAGCATCTTTGTTTGATTGATAATAAGGTGGTGCTGTTACATTTTATCATGAGAATATTGCAAAGTACCTCTCAGAGAGTATATGTTTTTCTTCAATTTCATCCTTCCATCTATAGGAAAAAATGCAAAACAATCATCCGTGTAATAAAACGACCAGCAGAAACATCCTCTGACGTTAATGAAACATGGTATGGACTACGGATGTGGCAGCCCAGTTGGTTTAAGCGCAGGCGTTGGTGTTGTTGTGCTCTTGAGTTCGATCCATCGTGAAAGGGATACTTTACGTCATGGACCTTGTTCCAATGGTATCAGTGTCCACGTCATGGGCCTTGTCCCCATGGTATCAGTGCCGCCGGATCCCGAGCCTGGGGGATTATGGACCTTGTTCTCAGAACCTCCAGATAATAAAAAAAAAGAAAACATGGTATAATAGGAATACATGTGTAACTAAATGTAATTAATGTTAATGCTCACTGGATCAGGTCGTTATTGTTGCATATATATATATATATATATATATATATATATTGAGAAGGTTGATTTGAAACACTTACTCATTTTCTCTACTTTGTTTCTATTGTTTTTGGGAATATCCCTTAATTATTACTAGATTTTGACCCGTGCTTGAAAGCGCGGAAATTTTTTATGATTAAAAATTTATATAATTGGGTTTTGTCTTAGTTTAAAGAATATTTTGATATAAAATCAGTTCACCTAAATTTGTGGTGATGATTATTTTTCATTAGTTTTTAGTTTCAGTTTTTATTTTTAGATTTTGGTTTTTGGTTTTTAGTTTTTAAGTTTCTACTTTTCATTTTTAGTTTTTGGTTTGGGTTTTTAATTTTTAAACTCGCTGAGTTAGTTTGAACTAATATTACCAACAAACAAATCTCAAATAATCGAACATCTAATTCAAAACTGAAAAGATGACAACAAATTAAAAAAAAAAATTGAAATAGTCTATTTTGTAAATAAACAAAGCAAAAAAATTTAACATGTGTTTTCAGCTTTTCGTTTGGATTTTAGTTTTTAGATTTGGTTTTTGGTTTTGCTTTACATTTTTTTAATCAGTAAATTATTTAAGAAAAATAAAAAAATAAATTATTTAAAAGTTACCATTAAAATTTATCAAAACAAAGTGATTGTTATTTAAAATAAAAAATATATTAACATGTTTAAAGTACATGATTTAAATAAATGATTAATAATAGATAATTTTGTTTTGTTAAAAATATTAAATACCTTTTGGGTCTGAAAATAATAATTGATTTTTTTGATCTTTTAACGTGAAAAGTTTATTCAATGTTTTTAGAGTTTTTTTTCTTAATACTAAGCCCAAAAATCAAACTATATAATTTGTTCAAAAAGTAAAAGTAAGCCCAAGACTATATTCCATAAATAACCAGTGGTTTAATTTAAGTATAATTAGTAGATTTTCATATTCCATATTTTGATGATATATATTCTTCTAGAACATTCCATATTTGTAGGAGAAAATATGTGTTTTTGGTATACACATAGATACCTGCCATATTTTGAAGGTAATTTACATTAAAGTCATTTCTTTACATTATTTGTGTTGGTTTAATTTAAGTAATACGATTCAGTCAATTATATGATTTATATTATTTGTAACATTCTAGAATGGGTCCAAATTTAAATGACAACTTATATCAGTAGATAAAAAGAATGACTCTATTTTAATAGAGTAGATTTGCGAAGTGATTTTGACACATGTCATCTCAACAATTATTTTCACAAAATTATGTAACATGACATATAAAAAAGATGACATGACTATGGTTTAATATGACATCAACAATTATATTTAATAATGATATATATTAATATATATATATATATATATATATTTTTTGGTAAAATTTATTGAATATGACAATAACTCATATATTACATTAATGTAGATTTATCTAAAATTATGATTTTAAATATATACATATATATATATATATATATATTAAATATTGGTCAAAATAAAATTTATAATTTCATAAAAAAAATATTTTTCTCTGAATTTTATGCTTAATTAAATTAAATATGGTCAAACTAATAAACTATATAATATTAATAAATTCCATTTCAAATTATAACTTAAATTTCTGTAATCACTTTCAAGAAATTAATGTGATATGACATATAAAAAAGATGACATGGTTTTGGTTTAATATCACATTGACAGTTACATTTATTGATGATATATATTTTAGTAAACTTTATAGAATATGGCAATAACTCATATATTAAATTAATTTTGATTTATATTTTTGGTTAAAATTTTATAATATGGTAATAACTCATAAAGCATCACAAAACATATTAAAATATGACATTACAAATTTTGAGATATCATTTGATTTATTATTATAATTATACAACTTTTACTATTCAAACTTTCTACAGTTTTAAAAAAAATTATAACTTTTAATCGTAATATCAATCTTTCTTTTAGATATCTACAAATTTATAAATATTTTTAGTTTTAATATTGATAACTATATAATTTTTATATGAATATTTTTAGTAATTTTATACAAGTTGATTTAATATATTTAACCAATAAAATAGAATATTTTTTTATTTAAGACTATGTTTTAAATATATACATATATATATATATAATATTGGTCAAAATAAAATTTGTAATTCAATAAAAAAAAAAATTTCTCTGAATTCTATGCTTAATTTAATTAAATCTATAGTAAATGTTGGTCAAAATAGTAAAATATATAATATTAATAAATTTCGTTACAAATTATAATTTAAATATCTATAATCACTTTCAATAAATTAATGATACATGGCATATAAAAAATGACATGGCTATGGTTTAATATGACATGGACAATTACATTTAATGCTGATATATATATTTTTGGTAAACTTTATAAAATATGTCAATAACTCATATATTACATTCATGTTTGATTTATATTTTTGGTAATTTTTTTATAATATGGTAATAAATCATAAAGCATCACAAAATATATTAAAATATGACATTATAAATTTTCAAATATCCTTTTATTTATTATTATAATTATACAATTTTTACTATTCAAACTTTCTACAATTTTCAAAAAAATATAACTTTTAATCCTAATATCAATCATTAAGATATCTACAAATTTTATAAAAATTTTTAGTTTTAATTTTGATAACTTTGCATGTGCCCTGGGCCAGCCCTAGTGCCACCTTAATTTTGATTTGGTTGAATAGGTTTCAGTCTCTCTCTTTCATAATATTGAAACTAGGTGTTTTTCTGTACCATGTACAATGATAAATTTTTGTGATCTTTTTAGACTTAGATTTAAAAATTACTTTTTTAACAAAGAAAAAAATGCCCATTTTTTAAATTGGAATGGAGCCTTTATTGGGTATGGACCGACCCTAGCTGGCACAAACTGAAAAGTAAAAAAAAAAATATTATATATATATATATATATATATATATAGTTTGGCTCCATTCCAATCGGAGAAACTTTTTTTTTTTGAATTTATAGGAAATTCTTTTCTCCACTGAAGTGAGTTCAGACTGACCACGTGTTAGCAGCCTATATTTTTGGTTCACGTATCGATCTCATGTTTTTGGCGATGCGAAAATTTTAAATCTCCAATGGTCGGAATTTGCACTTAGGTGGTTTCATCGTATTGGGTTCTTGCCTTCAAATTAATCACCATTGGGCCATAAGCCCATATAAAACTAAGTGATAAGATAGATTGTAGAAAACAAGTGGATAAATAGCAATATCAAAATCACATAATGTATTAATCCTCATCAATCTTACAGTTAGGGCTTGATTGGTAGAGCATTAGCATAAGCATTATGTTCTCTATTATCCAATTAACATTTGTCTAAGGCCTCGATTGGTACAGCAGATGATAAAGCAGTAGCAGTATGCTGCAGAAGCAGTATGCTACATAAGCTGTATGCTTTCATTAAAGTTTTTAATAAAGTGATTGGCAGTATACGATTTTAAAATTATCATAATAGTTAATAAAATAATATATTACTTTTAAAATAATATATATCTATAAAATAAATTAATAATATATAATTTTATTAAAAATAATGAATTTCATTATATAATTATATTTAAAAATTTAGAGTTTTTTATAAAAAATAAATTATTTTGGATATAACATATTACTCATATATAAAATTATAGTTATAATTTAATTAATTATTATTAAATTGTAATTATTATTAAATAAATAAATAAATTAATTATATTTTATATATAAATTAATTATAATTTACATATATATTATTATTATTTCTTTATTGGTAGAGCACTAAATTACTCATATATAAAATTATCATAAAAGTTAATATATAATTTATTTATTAGTGTCTAAATAATATGTTTATAGCGATAATATATAATTCATATTATGTTATGTTTGTTATTAAAAATAATGAATGATATATGTAATTATATAAATTATATTATATTTTAAATGTGAAATATTGTTATTTTAAAAAAAAAATTATAATTATAATTTTTATTTTTTAAAATATAAATTTATATTTAATTATAAAAATATTGTTCATATTTGTAAACAAAAATAAATTAATTATATATAAATATTATTAAGTTTTATATTTTCTATATGCAAATGCTCTCCCAAAAGCTCTATATGAGAGCATTGAGCAAAGAGCATTTGGAGAGCATTTGCATTTGGTAAATGCTTTTCTAAATGCTTCTTTGCCAAATGTTAATTGGATAATAGAGAGCATAATGCTTATGCTAATGCTCTACCAATCAACCCCTAAGAAGCATTTGGAAAAGCATTTATCAAATGCTAATGCTCTCCAAATAATATTTGCTCAATGCTCTCCAATAGAGTTTTTGGTAGAGCATTTGTATAATATCAAAATTTTAAAAATAATTATACATAATTAATTTATTGTAGTTTAATAATAGAAAAAATATTTTTATAATCAAAAATAAATTTATATTTTAAAAATTAAAAGAAAATTATAATTAAATATTTTTAAATTATTTAAAAGAACAATATTTCACATTTAAAATATATTATAATTTATATAATTACACATATCATTCATTATTTTTAATAACATGCATAAAATAATATATATTTATATATTATAAATATAAACATATATACATGTATATTAATTATACATTAATAAATAAATTGTATAACATATATTAATTTTTAGGATAATTTTATATATGAATCATTTACTGCTCTATCAATAAATAATAATAATTTATATATAAATTATATATAATTTATTTATTTAATAAAATTAAATATTTTTATCTCCAAAATTAATTTAATATTTTTTTTTAAAATTACATTTTTAGATAATTATATTTTACATATAAACTATAATATAATTTATATAATGAATAAGATTCATTATTTTTAATAACAAATATATTATTAATATATATTATAAATATATTAATATAATTTAATATAAATATTTATTTATATTAACTATTATAATAATTTTTAAAATTGTATACTGCTACTGCTCTACCATTCACTTTATTAAAAAATTTACTGAAAGCATACAGCTTCTGCAACATACAATTTCTACAGCATACTGCTAATACTTTATCATCTGCCGTACCAATTGAGGTCTTAGTGTTTGGAAATTCCCCATCATCACAAGAACTGTAAAACTACACAATACCAAAAGGAGTTTCAACTTTTGTGTCTTGAAGTACCCTTCCACTTCTAGTCGTGGTGAGAAGTGTTAGTTAAAGACTGCATGAAAGAATAATATATAGTAACCAAACGTTACTGTTAACTTAAGGTGATATATATCACTATTTTTCTCTAAAAGAAATATTTTAAGCTTTAATTTTTATCTTTTGAGCTTTAGTTCAAAAGAAAATTCTGACATAAAGAGTTATTCCCTTTGCACAAAAAAAAAAAAAAGAGTGTTCTTTTGTTGGGACAGACATAACTGAGCATCTAGGTCTGGCAAATGGCAATGCTACTACAGCTCAAAACAATAGATGTAAAAATTCCATTGGGCCAAGAATTATAGGGTTTTGTGGTCAGTGAATTTATTTCATGAAAAGTCTCAGTTAAAGATATTTCTCTTCATTATTGTGAATGTTAAAGCTAAAGATAGAAACGTGCATCATGCAGCTTACAGGTAGATAGATATACACAATGTAGTAGTAGTAGTAGTAGTAAAATATAAGATATTATTGACCTAACATCTCAATTTGAGCTAGATAGCCACAAAATTGGTCAAAGAAAAATACCATTAGGTCTTTGCTCCCTAGCAACGAACAAGTAGTTGAGTTAGTCGCTGAAGCTAGCTCAGCCAGCCTATGGCAGTAATCAAACAAAAATATCATTTTGCTTTTAGCTACCAACAATAAATATACCACCGTGATTGGCTTGACCGGCTAGACCACGAGACAATGGCAGCAATAGCAGGTGACTTGGGCTCAGCTACAAAGACTAGTTTGAACTAAAAGAGTATGTAGTGGCCTAGATCTTATGCTCAAGGACATGTTTCAGCTGAACCTTTTGCCTCTCGACTTGTGCTTCCATAAGCTTTGTCTTCACGCTGTTCTTATGTGTACCTCTAGGCCACTCTATGCACCCTTTCATCCCTCCTCGGTTTACATTAGCATATGCCGAGTCCGGTGATGAGCCCACCAAGTCCAGCGTCCTGAATCCGCCTTTCCCTGGTGAAACCATCCCCGCATTTGACTTTCTCGCGTTTGAAACCCTTCCGTTGATACCTTCTAATGAACTCCAAAGCTTCGCCATTGACGACACCTTCTTGGACTGCCTTCTAGGAACCGAGATAATTTCTCTTATTTCTCTCAATGGAGTCTTCTGGAACTCTGTGCCATTCGCAGATACATTGCTGTCACGTTGATGATTGTTGCTAGTGAACTCATCTGGCGAGAAACTGGATCTGTGCTCTTCCTGATGGCTCACAGTTTCCCAACCACTGTCATCTTCTTCAAACTCACCATATGCATTCGAGTGACTATCATTGACATCTGAGCTCACCCTGTGAACTTCTGAACCGTGGCTGACCGGACTGTAATCAACGCATTGCTCGGTTTCTCCATCTTGGGTGGCTTCACCCAAGTTCATTTCTTCAAATAACATGAATATATCATCCGGTTTTGCAGGTTCATATGCAAACTCCTTGACTTCTTGGACATTACTGACTGATGCAACAGTTTCTCTTAACACTTCAGCCTCTCTCACCTCTTTCACACATGTAGTAGCATTTCTTGATTTGAGGAAGGCCTCCATGTCTCCTACAAGCTTGTTCATTTGTGAATACTTCTCCTCGAGTGCTACCTTGGCATCAATAAGCTTCATTTGGACACGTTCCTCACGCCAAACCTCAGCCATCTGCAGCATTCTTCTCTCGTCGTCTACTTCCTCTTGCAGATTCATTGATTCACTCTTCAACGCATCAATCTCAGCTTTATCTTCTTCTATCTCCTTGGCGAGTTCATCACAGACTTCTTCGATTAACTCTCTTGCCTTCTTTTCCTTTTGGTAATCATGCATGTGTCGCTTCACAGCCAGCTTTGAATCTGCAAGCTCGTTGACTAGTTTTAGATTAACAGATTCTAGTTTTAGACGAGCTTTCTTTTCTCGGTTGATGTCATCTTTCATGTCATCAATGATTGCTCGGACCTTCTCATGCTCCTTGCTCCGCCAAGACGCTCTCTCCTCGCTGACTTTCCTTAAGAACAGCTCAAGCTTCTTTTTCTGAGATCGTTTCTCAGACTCGAGATCTTCTATGCGAGCACGAGCTTCCTCCAGTTTAAGCTCAATAGAAGTAGCATCATTGACTTGTTGACCAATCAGCTTCACGTTGCTGTAGATTTGGTGGACGTCATCCCTTGCATCTAAGCGTATAGGATGATCCCATTTAGTTGCCGCCTCCATGGCGGAGTCAGGAAATGAAATCAAAGGCTCCTGTTAACAGAAGAGGAAGTAAAATATTTCAGATCAAGAAGCCTGAAAAAGAGATGATCAAAGAGAGACAGTCACAAGGAAAGAAACATGTGAAGGAAACCAACCAAATACATGTGCATAGTATAAATGTTCAAGTAACAACTCCAAATCTGAAACCTCATCTCAACTACAACATTCACGTATGCTCTCAAACAATAAGTATATAAAAACTTTTGAAGCATTTTAACAAGTAATATCATCTCCACGGCTAGAAGCAAACACACCTTACACAAGAACCCACTCTTTGTAGCAGCAGCAGCAGCAGGAGGAGGACTAAGCTTGCTTCTTAAGTTGTTGGTTTGAAAGCCAGAATGTTTATTATGATCATGGTGGTAGAAAAAGAGAGGACCCAAATGTCCAGCAGCACTTCCCTGAAGGAAAACACCAAAGACAAAAGGAAGATTAATATATTTAATCCTCCTCTCAGATATAGTAACAAGTGAAACAGAGTATTTCAGATCCAGCACACGATAAAACAGAGTATCCAGACTCAAACAATGTAAAGATCTTTTGATTCAAAGCAAAAAAAAAAAAGTTTAAAGCTTTAAGAAAAAGAAATAAAAATCAAAAAACTTTGTACCTGAAACCCTAACCCATCCTCCCTGCTCTTCTTATCTCGGCCGCTAGAAACAGAAGCATCGGGGACCTGCAACCGCCACGCTCCCGCCGCGAGTTTCCTTCCGGTATCAGGTTTCACACTTGTCCTTGGTTCATCAACCTGATTGTGATTGCTCCAATCAACATCTTCTCTGTTTTGATCCTCCGGTTTACATTTTAGTTGAGGAGATGCCGGTCTGCTCCGCCTCCTCTTTCCGGATCTTCGCTGACGGATCGATCTCGGTTTCATCTTCTCCGGTGAACTTAAACTTGTAATTATCGAAGAGAAAAGGAAAGCCGCGAGAGAGATAGAGAGAGAGAGAGATGGATATGGAAGGCTGAGAGGTCGTGATGATGCAGAGTTACTTGATTCGGAACGAAACAAGATGCATATGAGTGTGGGGATGGATACTACAGTATCTTTGATTTGTATTAATTGATTACTTTCACATGTCCATATCATGGGTGACCAAAAGGAAACAGTTTTTTTTTCTTTTGTGTATGTCGCAAAACTGTTTACTTACTAAGGCCCATTTACTTACCAAGGGTTCTAATGAGTTCTATCGACAAAAAGGAAAACAGTTTCAGCATCAAAGCCCAACAACAAATACGAAAGACTAGCTCTAAACCTTAGTCTTCCATCAAAAAGTCTTCGGGTGGATTTAGTCACCAACTCACTGTTCTATCAAGTATGTTACTCAATTTGTTTATTTTAATTAGTACAATGATTGACAAAATCATACAAATGGCTGGTGGAACTACTGTACCAGATAACCTGGAATAATAAAAGACTAGATGATACCCGCGATGAGTTTTTTATATATTAGAGTTAGTTTATTTTAACATTTTGTAACACTATAATTTTTATCTATTTTAAAGTGATGAATACAAAAATGTTGGTCTCTTAAATATATCACATTCCAGGCATTCGGAGATCTGTCGGGGTTTCATTTCGGTTGATTCGGATTTTTAAATTTTCGGTATTATGCTTTTCAAACCCATACAGATTTTACTTATTATCGGATCAGTTTCGGTTCGGTTCCTTTTGGATTCGGCTTGGATCGGATTGTAACCAAAATCTGAAATCGTCCCAAAAAGTATTTTTGAAACCTCAAAATTGAAAAAGCAATTTTCAAAATATTTAAATTATTCGTAATCTAATTTAAAATGAGTTAGGCTATCTAGACTAACTAAATGATATTCAAAATAAAAAAGAATTAAAAAAATATAAAAATCTTTCCAATACAATAAAATATCTAATTGCCTTGATATATAAAAAAATATTAAACATGTTGAACTAATTTCAGATATATCTTCGGACCTAGCTAGTTCAGATTTTGGTTCGATTCAGATTATAACTAAATCCCAAAGTACTAAGATCATAAGTCTTGTTCGGATAAATTATAATAGATATATTGGATATTATGAAGAAATAAATATTAGACAAATAATCAAATCTCTAATTCTTCTAACAAATTCAAAAGGATGTGATTAAACTTGTCATGATATTTCATTAAAATAATTTTAGGTATAATTATCAAGACTAAATTATTTAATTTGAATGAAATAATTTATATATATATAAATATAGTGCTTCCTGTATTAAAAATCATTTTGATTTGAAGAAGTGTAATTTGCGGATTGTCAGGATCAAATAACATATAAAAAATTACCTATTTAAAAATTAATTTGTATACATAAAAGTATATACATTATAGTAAGCACATAATTTAAAACTAGTATCTTTTGTTAATTTACAATCATGTTTTTGGTAAATAAATCAAAACAACCATTTTATTTACTTTATTTTGTATATAATTACACGTTATTGATATTGGCATATATATATATATATATATTATATTTAATTTATATTTATTCTTGATGCTTTCTAATCATATGATTTTATTAACATTTGAATATTTTTCTCTAACAAACATTTAAATAAATCACAAAATTTTAATGTCAATTGTTCCTAGACAAATTTCAAAATTTAAATATTAAAATATCAATAAATTTTCCCTGCAAATTTTGGAAATTAACATATTTATATATTTTATATAGTTTATAATTTAATTTAAATGATATATATATAATATGATTTTCTATTCATGTGACTTCATATTCATACGATTTATAATCATTTGTATCTTTCTTTAACAAAAAAAAAAGTTAAAGCATTGATCAAAATAATCCAATGTGGGAGTTTAACCATTTATAGTCGTTTCAAAAAATTCTAAATATAACATATAAGAAAAAACATAATTTTTATTATATGCATAATGAGATTGTTCAATTATTTTTAATAATATAAAATTAAACAAATATAGAAAGGATACAAATTATCAAATATGTATTATTCATATATATTTAAATCATATTAGGTTAGGTAATTCTGTAGCTTTTATTTATGGAAAGAAATAATATTCTCTTGTACACTAATAACTAGTTTGATAGTTCATTTAATAAAAAAGTATAACATATAATTATATGGACCAATTTATTTGTATATGGATTTTGACTAGGGGTGGGCACAAGCCAGGTTAATTGCCATTTTTTTTGCGTACTTGGTACTTGACTTGGCTTGTTCGAGTAATATCATTTTGGACTTGTATTTGGTTTATTAAAAATGAGTACTTGCACATTCAAGTACTTGCAAGTACTTGCTCTGTTTTACTACTTGTTGTTTTTGAACTAATTTATAATTATTTGTATATTATTTAATAATAGTTTATTAATTTTAGCTACTTAAACCTTGTATATGAATTTAAGAAAAATTTAATTAGTTATAATTATAATCTAATTTTTTTAATAAAAAATATTTATTTACTTTTCATATGTTTTAAATCTATATATGATAGATATAAAATTAAAAGAAAACTCTAAATACTTCTATAATATATCACTTTTAATTCATTTATTTTCTAAACAAGTAATTTAATTATAATTTAGAGATTTTTTTTCTAAAAGTAAAAAAAAAGGGTGATAAATCAAGTAATAAGTTATGAGCAAGTAGCCAACAAAGTCAAGTAGTTATTTTTATTTTAGTATTTGCTACTTGTCTTGCACTTGCAAGTAATTGAAATAAACGACTTAATACTCGACTTGAATAAAACTAGTACTCGACTTTGAGAGTCAAGTACGAATCAAGTAACGAGTACAAGTCGAGTAACAAGTAATTGTGTCCAGCCCTAATTTTGACTATGAAAACATGTTGAATATTCTAAGATTAATATATAAAAGATTTCTATATTCGTATAACAAAAAATAAAATAATTGTTCACAAAATTTTCCTTGTAAGACTATTAACAGTTTTAGTAATTTCTAGTCGTTTTAAAAAAAATTAAAATATAACATATAAGAAAAAAATATAGATTTTTATTATATGGTTAATGTGATTTTTATTTTTTAATAATATAAAATTAAAAAAATGATGGAAGATATAAAAACTATTCTCAAATCTTTATTATTTAAAATTATTAATTATCATATATATGGTAATCATATTAGGTAATTCCATAGGTTTTACTTCTTTTTTTTTTTTGGTAAAATGTTAAAATTTATACCATTTTTGTTTTTTCATTGTTGATTACAACTTATTAAGAGCAGAAAAGAGAACACAACAACCAAACTCAAGCAAAACCTCAAGGAGGTCGGATACAAGAAAAGTAAAACTCCAGCATGGAAGGCGACCTATCAGGTGAAGGGAAGGAGAGGAGTCTGTCGCGAATCTGTCTGTCTAGGATGCGACGAAGGCCAGTAACGTTGGTGGTGACTGTAGTGAAGATCCGAGCATTCCATAGGTTTTACTTAAGGAAAGAATGAAGAATATTTGTTATGCACTACAAATCATTTTGATAGTTAATCTAATAAAAACTATACTTTATATTTAGATGGACCAACATATTTTTCTAAGGATTCTAATAATTATCCTAATAATGACACGTGGTTACACTTAAATGTTGTAATACTCCAGAATTAATACATAGAGAATATGTAATGTAAGACCATCTCTAATGAAACACTATTTGTTCCTCTATAATTTACATAAAATAATGTAATTTTATTATAAAATGATTTTTGTTCCTATTTTTACTCTATTAATAGAGTTACTCTATACATAGTTACTTTATTATAGAGTAAATGTCACTTTCACTATATATTTGGAATAAAAAAATGATATTTCTCTATATTTCATTTTATAATAGAATATTATGTTATATAGTTAACCATTGGAATAATAGTCATTCTATATTAAAGTTATTTCATTTTAGTGCAAATTATAAAGAAAAATTAGTGTCTCAAGAGATGCCCAATTTCCCTAATGTGTAGCACCTAGAAATAAAAGCTAAGACACACATCAAAACTGAAAACAAACACATCGTATTGATTCGCTAACTCCACTAATGGATGTATGTTTGAAATATTTTATCTCAAAATAAGAGTCTGAATATATACACAGATAGATATTAAAGCATTTTTATAGACTTCTATCACTTTGAGTTTGACGTGGCAAGTGAAGATGCTGACGTGTTTGGTGAAGAAGAGTCCGGAGAGCCTTGGTTTGGTTCAGAAGGTTGGCCGTTATGAGCTTCGAAGCTGTTCGTGAAGAAGTTGAGTATAAAGAGGAAGTTACATATGGAGAAGAAGACTATGCTTTGATGTTGTATGAAGATTGACGCCATGAATCATCTTGACCCGATTGCCATGAGATCGGTGACAAAGGTGAAGCTCGCCATGAGAGTCTAGCCAGAGTCAAGCTCAAAATATTTCCCTTGTATTTTGTACTTGCTGGTTCTGTACTTCCGTTCGATAATCAATAAAAGAGATAGGATTTCTGAAGTCTATCATTGGTACGGTGAAACTAAGATAGGATTAAACACGGTGGTGTGACGGTGTTGATGGAGCGGTGAAGCAATTGACAAAACGTTTTGTTCGGAGAGTTCGTCGTCGATAGTTACAAGTTACGAGAGTTTTGATTAAATTGGAGTTTCGCAACGTGATTCGATCGGAGCGGCGAAGACAAAGGTCGAGTCGATCGGAATAGAAGCGATGATCAGATTCGAAGTTTTGGAGAACAGGATGTTCACAATAACGGAAAAGTTAGCTCGAATCGAAGCACCTCCAACCTTCAAAAAACGATCGAGTAAAGAGATCACATCATCTTCGCAACCTCAAAACGACCAGGTATCAATAGTTCTCTCACAACCAGATCAATCTCCAACACAGTTAGGTTATCGGAGAATTCAAAACACACTTGTGAACCATGATGCGATGTTGAGCAAGATTAATATGCATGTGTTTTTTTGTCCATTGCCTTTTGATTGGATCTCTCGAGTTGAAAGAATCTTTAGAATCAGTAACTACAAAGAAGAAGAGAAGCTGTATTTGGTCTCATTGAGTTTAGAGGGACCGGTTCTGCAGTGGTTCAATGGTGAGCTCGTAAGTGATCCATTTGTGAGCTGGGATCAATTTACTACTAGGTTGTTAGACATATTTGGTGGTCCCATTGACAAGGATCCAACAGCGAGGTTGTTCTGTTTGCGGTAAGAGGGTGACATTGTTGATTATGAGAATGGATTTGAGGCTTTGCAGAATCAGGTTACATGAATAGATGAGAATATTTTGATCAGGGTGTTCTTCACTTGGTTGAAATCCGAGATGAAGGAGATCATTTGTATGAAGAAACTTGTAAGCTTGGCAGATCACAAATTGGCAGCACTTAAGATGCAGAGCACAGTTTTTTGTAAATTGGCTTCAACTTCAACCAAGTTTTATCAGTTACACATGTCATAGAAGTGGATGAGTTATCTTTGAATGTGAAAGATGAACCCACTTTAAACAATGAAGTTCTTCGAGATAGAATTGGTGAAGAAGAAGATCACATCATCAGTTGTGGAAGAGATTAATGAAGCAGAAGTAGAGTTTAAGAATGACTCACTTCCATATATGAAGCAACCTGAATTATTACTGGAGTAACCTGAATTGTTACTGGAGTAACCTGAATTGTTACTCAAGAAAGATTTTCTTGCTGAGATAGTGATGGAAGTTCCTACGCAGCCTGAAACATTGCTCGAGAGAGATTTAATTCTTGAGACTGATCTGAGTTGTGATTAAGTAGCTGGGAATTTTGGGGATGAAACGGTTGGTAGCAATGAAGTGGTGCATGAGACATAAATATAGAAATAGACTGCAACAGTGGAAGAAGTTTCTATCATTTTGTTGCAGGAGTGCACCAGAAAATATCGCTTTGTGCACATGTTCAAGAGACAGAAGCTGTACTGAAGAGCTCACTTGCTGAAACTGATCAAGAAACCGATTATTTTAAGACTGGTCATGTTACCGGCTGTTCTGCAGTAGCATTGCATATAAAAATAGAATCAATTTGGGGCAGCGGAGTTGTTCATGAGACAGCATTGGTGAATAAAGCGTCAGTGATAAATAAGAAGAAGAAGCAGCAATGCATCAAAACTTGGAAATTCAAGTATAAACCGTTGAATCTGCTGAGAATTATGTTACAAATGGATTCAAAACAAGTCACTGGCGAAATGGAACATAAGGAGCTTATTACGGTGAAGAGGAGGCCGGATTCAAAGAGCATGTTAGCACGAAGGGACGAGAGACATCTTCGTTGGAGGCTGGAACTAGGAGGAGTTAAGTGGCAAATATTTCAGAGATCTCAGTTCAAAATTTTCTTTGATTTTGTTGGGGAGCAGAGTGATCCTAAAGTGAGAAGAGTACCAAGTAACCACCAACAGAGGAAGTTTGTTAAAACTTGGAAGTGGAAATACAAAATTCGGCAGCTGTTTGGGAACTGTGGTGAACAGCTTGAGATCATGGAACATAAATATATGAATGACATCAGTTCTTACACGAGTTCTGCAGTTACTTGACAGTGGTGATGTTTAACTTTGCAGCAGCATGGATCTTTTCTTGCGAGTGATTATATATTTATGTTCTGCTCAAGTTTGAGGTCAAGCGTGATTCAAGGGAGGGAGTATACATGAGAGTACATTTTTGCTTGTGGATAGTTGGTGTGCTGATTTGGTGGTTTACAATAGCAAGAATCTGATCTTTCCAAGAAAATGTTAGAGAACAAAGGAGAAAGACGGAACCATGTATACATGAGATGGTACGAGTGGAGAATCATCATTCACCTAGAGAAAGCGACTTGGTAGTGATACACGTTAAGAGACATCAAGGGCAGGTTTTGGTACATCAACAGGAGCAAGGGAAAAAATTCTACAAATCTTGGATGTTCAAGTATAACGATAAGGTGGAGACTTCAGCTGCTACATTGGCCATTTGCAGAAGCAACAAGACGTTCAAGAATGCAGTATTGATAAGTTTTATCATGATCTTCTCCTTGGACACCAGAAGTTTATTTTCTTCTTCCAAGCATGTGGGCAAGTTTGTTTTATGGGGAAAGTATTGATAGAATTCTATCACCTTGAGTCTGACGTGGTAAGTGAAGATGCTGACGTGAGAAAGAGTCAAGAGAGCCTTGGTTTAGTTTAGAAGGTTGGCCGTTACGAGTTTGGAAGCTGTTCGTGAAGAAGTTAAGTATAAAGAGGAAGTTATAGAGGGAGAAGAGGATTATACTTTGATGTTGTATGAAGATTGACGCCATGAGTCATCTTGACCCGATTGCCATGAGATCGGTGACGAAGGTGAAGCTCGCCATGAAAGTCTAGCCGGAGTCAAGCTCAAAGCTATTTCCCTTGTATTATGTACTTGCTGGTAATGTACTTACCCTCGATAATCAATAAAGGAGATATGATTTCTAAAATCTATCACATTTGTATAGTGATGGATCATGTTTATCGTATCTATAGTGGTATGAACACCTAAGATTATCCAACCGCAGGCAACCAAAGAAACATTATGCAGAAGAGAAACTAAAACGAAAACACTAAGCTCCGTGCTATGAAAACCACCGAAGCCAAATCACAAATCTCATATCTGATTTTTTTTTTCTGTAATGGGAAGGCATAGAATTAGGAGAGAGAAAAATATAGACCTTTGAAGTTCAAATTTCTTTTTCTGAACAACAGTTCTTTTTTTGTTTGAATATTTGATATGTGAGATTCTCTAATCTATTTATAAATCGATTTTTTTACAGATAATAATAAGCTGAAAACAAGGTATGCGGGAGATTTATCCTTCTCTTTTCATTCCCAAAGTGCCAGAGATCGATAGATCAACCAATACATCCAACAAATTCAGGTTCATAGAAAAATATTACTCGAGTCTATTTGTTCATGCATAACAAAATAGAAGATCATTCTCTTATTCAGTCATCATTTTGTTTCTTTATACATTCATCAAAAAGGGAAAAAAAAAGAGTAGCATTTGATGTCACATAAACTTTTGACCGAAAAAAATTCACACAAAAATTTAAATATTTATTTAACTCATTAAATTATTTGGACCGACTTGGCAATAAAAGGATAAAGCTCAAATCTAAAAGTACAGCTCCTACCCATAAATCTCGCTCCTCGTCTATAATTCAAGCAATGTTGAAAGCGTACGGTATTAAACATTAAACATTCCTCACAAGCTTGTGTGGATAAGTCTTTCGTACACTGCACCATTCCATACAACATATCACCCTTCAATAGCCGCTTCCCCGCTAAGTACATTCTGTTTTTATCTCTAGTGATGGCTAAAGTCGTCATATTGTTCAAGAAGGTAGCCCAAGTAATTGCAGAATTCCAACTCAACTTCTTAGCATTGAACATACAAAAATTATCGTCGTAATCGATCTGCCCAATAGTATATTTGGGAGAAATTGAGAGAAGACATTGATCATACCATATTATTTTCCCCTTGTACCACGGACATCTCCTATGAAGCTGTAATATACATATTAAATATCGGTGCCACAATCAATAATGGGGGATTACACGAGACTAGTGAACATACATAAAGTAGTTTTTTGTCTTATGCAAAAACGTAATCAAAAGGTGTACGTGAGCTTTATACAAATAAAAAAAAAACTAATTAATAATATTGATGTGACATTACCGCAGCTAGGGCGGTGACAAAGCAGTCACGGCACTCGGTCCCGTAGGAGTCACCACGGCACTGGAGGATAGCGGATAAAGTAGAATCGCCGAACCCGTCGTAACCTTTGTTACTGCCCGAATAGAACCCTTTCATGATTCTTTTTAAACGATCCTCGTACTCACTTCCCGGCTTGTATTTTCCTTTACTAACCAAGCATTTGTGGTTGAGATACGCATTGGTCGTGTTTAAGGGCAATTCGCTGTTTATAAGAAGTAGTTGTATGGCCAAGACATGGATCACAATGAGGCGTTTTAATAAAGACGATAATGAGTACATTGTTTTAGATGGTTTTTCTCGAAGGGGTTTTTAATAGATAACTCATTGAGATTGGTGTTGTACGAGACTCATAGGGATTTGGATACTGAAGATGTGTATGATGTTTATATATATGTGTGTGTGTTTGTTATTCTTTTTGGTTAACCAATACGAAATTTGTTTGAAAATGTCAGTTTGTAGAAAACAATGTTTACACTTGTAAGGAGAGGAGAGAAGAGTTGAAGGTTGAGACTGATTTGCGGCAACAAGAGGGCCGACAAAATGTAAAAGTTCAGAGGTGTGACTTATTCACGAGATTCATGCGGTGTGAACCTGAACAAAAAGGAATTCATTTGTTAAATTATTATTACCAGATTCTTGTTTTTAAGACAACATAGTACAAATTCCAACACAATGTATATAGTTATAATATTAAAATTAAAACGTGATTGTTCTTAGGCAGGGGCAGGTCACAAAAAAAATCAAATGGGAACAAAATATTACTAATATAGGTTATCAAAAAAAAAAAAAATATATATATATATATATTACTAATATATGTAACTATTATTAAAATAAATTTATATTTCATACATTTTATTTTGGGGATTTAACAAATATGGCTCCAAACTTGATTTCAAATGCAAAAGTGTACCCTCATTCAAATCAAATGAAAAAGTAATTCAAAAGACTACTGAAATTACAAATATTTCCTCATGACTAAACAAAAAAGCAGAATTGTAATTTACCATTATAACCGTGCGATGACTAAACAAAAAAGCAAAATTGTTATTTACCATTATAACCGTGCGAGTGAGAAGACTTACGTGAAAGTCTTCTCATGAAAAGATTTACCTTAAAGTCTTTTCATGTCGTAGATCTTAAAAATAATTTATTAATTTTAGAAAAAATATTTTATTAGTAAAAAATCCAAATTATGTAATTATTGACATTTATAAATGATGTAAATTTAGATTTACTAAAATTGAATAGTTTTCAACATAGATGAGTGAATATAAGTTAGTCATGATATTCTTTGGTTTAGGGTTTGTTAACTATGTTATAGTATTGTATGTGTTTTTAGGGTTAGATTGTGGAATCTTTACATATTTTTTTTAAAAAAAAGACTAAATTTTACCTATATGTACTTAGTTTTTTCTGTATATTTAACACTATAAATTTATTTTAAGTTTGATAAAGTTTTTGTATGTGATTTAGTTATATATTTGTTTTTGGAGTTTTAGAAGACTTGAATTTTCAAAGATATAATGCACTAGAAGACTCACTGGAAGACCTAACATCATTTTCCCGCTTAAAATTTCAAAAGAATTTAGGTTTCCTGCCTAAAATTAAGTTTTCCAATAAGTCTTCCATAAGTCTCCCTTGAGCCTTCTAGGGAAAGTTTTATAGTGTATTAGTTCTTAAAATAATTTATAAATTTCCTAAAAAATATTTTGATAGGGGAAAAATCATAATCATCTAATTATAGACATTTATAAATAATATAAATTTAGATTTAATAAAATTGAATTGTTTACAACATAGATGAGTGAATGTAATTTAGTCCTGATATTTTTGGTTTAGGGTTTGATAACTATGTTATAATATTGTATGTATTTTAAGGTTAGATTTGACCTATATGTGTTTAGTTTTGTGTATATTAAACACTTTATAAATTAATTTTAAGTTTAATAAAGTTTTTATATGTGAATTAGTTATATATTTGATTTAGGGATTTTGGAAGACTTAAGATTATCGAAGATATAATGCACTAGAAGACTTAGGATGACTTAACCACGTTTTCCCGCTTAAAATTTTAGAAGAATTTTGATTTCCGGCCTAAAGTAAGTTTTCTGGGCGAATAGTAAGTTTTCAAAGTAAGTCTTATGGGTGAATAGTAAATTTAGGGTCTAGAAGACTTCTTGGAAGACTTTCATGTAAGTCTTCTAATGTATTGAAAATATTTAATGTAATTGAAATTTTTATCTTCATATATAAAGAAAAATTTACACATTCCCTTTCTTCCTCTCAAATGAAGGCAACAAAAATGTAATGTTTCTATTCTAAAATTCTCTAACCTCTCTCTAAACTATTTGAATTTGATAACATCAAATATTATATCAATTTCTCATTTTTATGTGTTTCTCACTATTTAATCTTGTTTTTGTAGATTTTTCCATTACATAGTTGTAATCTTTCACTAATTTAAGGTAGACCTATAAATGTTTTATATGTATTTTTGTGTCTTTTATATGTTAAATTCTATTAAGTTATAGATTCAACATAATGAGATTTTTTTAGATATTATTTAAGCTTAAAACATTGTATTTATTTTTTATTTTTTCTCTGTTTTAATGTCATTTGAACTTTTTTGGATATGCAAGTTTTTTCAGATCTGAGTTAGACATTGGAAAACTTACAGAATACTTTCAGAAGGCTTTCCTAGAAGTCTTCTTGCGTAGTATTAAGTCTTCTCACGTAGTCTTAAATCTTCTGTTGTAGTCTGAAGTCTTCTGACGCAGTTTTAAGTCTTCTGGCGCAGTCTTAAGTCTTCTGGCGCAGTCCTAAGTCTTCTGACAAATCTTCTCTCATATCAAGTTGAGTCCAAGCTTGTCTTTGTGGATGAATGATCTATAATAGTTTTATTTGTCTGTTTTGTGATTTGTATGTGTACTCTTTAGTTGTGATTTTTTTTTTGTAAATTTGAAAAACTATTAATGAAAAATAAGGTAAATATGTTTATTGTCCAAAATTACTTGAAATTATTAAAGTAAACAAGATATAATATATGTGATAGCAATGTGTTTTTCACTTTTACAAATCAATGAAAAAAATTCAACGGTCTTCAGATTCAAAACGTGATGTTCATTGTGTAGTTGTTCTCATATTTGGATCTCTCATACTCTGCAAAAAAAAAAAAACGTTTGTAACTATAAACAACTTCTTCTCATTTAATTACAATAGTTGTTCATCACTTTTAAATTGTAAGAAGTAAAACCAACAAAGTCTTTTAAGAAGTAAAACCAATAAATTTTTTAATTATAAACAACTAAGATATAATGAGTTGGTTAACTCTTCCAACTTCATTTTCATGTACACATTATATACTTCTTGAAACTATTTAACACTTTTGAAAGTTAAAAAACTTATCTTAAATTACTTAACATTCTTAACAATACAAGTTTAAAAAACTAACATGGAAGATTTCCATGGAAGCCTTCTGAGAAAAGACTTCTTAATAAGTCTTCTTAGATTTGCTAGAAACATTAAAAAAATGAATGTTGGTAACCTCATAATTATAACCAATTAAGTTATGAATTTCATTCAGGACCATAAATATTGTCTAAAACACATGAATTAACAATAAAATCTTAAGAATTCATTTTAAATTTGAAGAAAATGAAGGTTTATTATACATTGTCGTAGAAGACTTACCTGGAAGTCTTATAAACCTTTAAATTAAGTATACTCTATACGCTGAAAGACTTCGGAAGACTTACCTAGAAGTCTTCCACCAGAAGACTTACAGGTGAGTCTTCTTTAACTACCTTGGGTTTGACCAGAATCACTGAATAAAAATCTGGAAGACTTCTAGGTAAGTCTTCCGGCAGAAACTTATCTGGAAGACTTTCAGGTAAGTCTTCGCACGGAAGACTTACATGAAAATCCCCAATTTAAATTAAATGTTTTAAGTTTAAATTTTCAATTACATAAGTAACCTACGTAGACTTTCAGCGATATCGTGTTGACTTAATTAAAGGTTGAGAAGACTTCCAGGTAAGGCTTCCAAAGTCTTCCGGTGGAAGACTTACCTGAAAGTGTTCTGTAGAAAGTCAAATTTCTGACATAGATTTGTCAATTGCAAAACTAACATGTTTATCTGAGAAGACTTACAGGTAAGTCTTCTTGATTTTTTTTGCCAACCAAGAAAGTTGAAAAACTTCCACGACAGTCTACGAAGACTTACGTAGACTTACTTCGTAAGTCTTCCAACGAACAAATCTGGGGAAAAATCAATTTGTACCCTTAACCACTGAGAACTTGCTTAGTTATCCAGGCACACTCAACTTCACCAGAACAGCTAATCAATGTTTTAAATTTAGTTGAGACCGATTTCTAGTCTATTTCTACTATTTCAGTAGGAGTCATTGAGAGAAGACATATCTTTATATTATTCTATTGATAACAACAACGTCAAAATGATTATTGTTCCATAGAATTCTATGTTGCCTTTCGGAGAAACAATATCTACAACAAGAACTCGATCACCATCAAATGAAAAACCATCAACGATTAAAATTGGTAAGACCCGCCTATATTATCTACAGTGGATCTGTCAGTTCAATTTTGAACCGAAGTTTTTATCTTTTTAACTTCATTAGAAGAACCATACAAAATAATAATCTAAAAACTTTATCTTTTCAAATCTATTGAAAGAATCATACAAAGGAAAAATCTAAAACTTTATCAAATTTAAAATAAATTGACAATCAAAACCAAATGGCCAGGAAAAAAAATCAAAGAAAGAGAAGCAAAAAAAATTAAATAAGTCGATGTTAAAACTATAAAAATCTTTGACCATCTGCTTGAAACTATAAATTTCCATTTTTCTTTCTAACTAATCCAAGACATATGTGGGTTTTAAATTACAACACCAACCCCTTGTCGTTTAGCACTCAAAATAAGGGTTCACAGAATTATTAGTTTTATTTTTATGAATTATGTACTAGCCATTAACATACTCAACAAATTTACGGTTAGCAAAAAAATATCTGAATAAATCAAAGCTAAGCTTCAAGAAAACAAAAAGTAATAAAATCTGATTAAATCAAAGTTAGCTAGCAAAAAAAACTACATGTTTGTAAGTCTTAATCATCATCATTTATGGTTCAAGTGATCGATAATACAGAAAGCAAACACTGCAAGTAGGAGTACTATAAATTCGATGCAACACCAACTTCGAGCTTTCTTTTTGCAAAAAAAAAGAAAAATAAAAAACTTCGAGCTTTTGCTCAATACTA